AATAAAGGAAATAATGCTCAAAAAGTAATGAAAAAAAATAACAAATGTTCTAATAACACTGATTTGGGTTTAACATCTTCAACTTCAACAAGTTTTCAACTTAGGTCCATATATGTTTAGACTCTGACAGTTTTTTGTTTTTTTACCTGTTAACTGATACATATTCCAGTTATAGTTATATAATGGAATGAAGCAAATAAAAGACCTGAAATTGATTTGAGGTGTGGTGTCTGCAATATGCAATTTGCAGTTTAGAAGATTTTGCTGTGAACAGACAAAATGCTGTCAAATTGCTGGTGAAATTAGCCATACTTAAGCTGTGAAAACCCATTGCTACAATAAATAAATTGCTACAATATTGGATGTCCATGAGAGACAAAAAAGCCTGCACACTGCTGGAAAAAACATTCTTTGAACAGAGACCCAGATCAACCTCTACCAGAATGATGGAAAGAAAAATGTATGGCGATGGTGTGGAACAGCTAATGATCCAAAGAATATCACATCATCTGTAAAATATGGCAGAGACAGTGTGATGGCTTCGACACGCATGACTTAGTAATGATGTGTTTATTGATGATGTGACACAAGGCAGAAGCAGCCGAATGAATCCTCAGGTGTTCAGAGACATACTGTCTGGCAATCAAAATACAGTCAGATGGGGTACCGCTTCATAATACAGATAGACAATGACCCAAAACATAAAGCCAAAGCAACCCAGGAATTTATTAAAGCAAAGCAGTGGAATATAAAGCATGCATTTCACTTGTTTAAGACTAAACTTCAGACAGAAAGTCCCACAAACAAACAGCAGAGCATTAAGAAGAAGGAAACCCAGCATCTGGTGATGTCCATGAGTTCAAGAATTAAGGCTGTCATTGCCAACAAAGAGATTTTAACTAAGTATTAGAAATGAATTTTTTTTCCAGTTAATTTCTCCAATTACTTCTGACCCCCTGAAATGAAGGGGTTGTGTTAAAATTCTTTAGTTCCTCACATTTTTATGCATTCTAATTGTTCAACCCACTGAATTAAAGCTGAAAGTCTGCACCTCAACTGCATCTGAGTTGTTTCATTTAAAATTCATTGTGGTACTGTACAGAACAAACATTTTTAAAAAAAAGTTGTCTCTGTCCAAATATTTATGGAGCTAATTGTATTTATATCACAAAAACAGTCAACTCAACATACTTTATACTGTAAGGTAAAGATCATACAATGATAACCAACATCAGGAACCTTCACTGCCAATGATGTCTGGGAGCTCACAGGATTAAATAAGGGTACTTTCAGGCCTACAGTCTTTCGTCCCTTTAAATCAAACTCTGGTTTGTTTTCCCTATTGGTGTAGTTTGTTTGTGCAGATGTATACACAGTAATCACACTCGGAAGCAATTTGGTTCACTTGGAGTTTACTTGGATTTTTCCTATGTGTGAAATGAAACCTTTCAAAGGGAGAAGCTGATGAGTTTAAAAGTTTATAAACTTATCGGCTGATTTGGACAGACTTGCTGCTGCAAGCTGTTCTTCACTGTTAATGGAGTGAAAGAGTTCACCCACTTCAAGGCTGGGTTGTTAAGCAAAAGCCAGTCATATCCCAGACCTGCTCTCAGTTCTGGAATCACAAGGCTGAAAGTGATCTTGTATGAAGTCATGTGTGACTGTGCAACATGGCAAATAAACAGAATTCTCCAAATGTCCATGTGTTCCTAAAAGATTTTCACTGACTTTAGAGAACTGTGGGCTATATGAATTTTTCCTGCAGTTTATTTGGTAATGATAGTGGTGGCATAATTTTTACCTGCTGGTAAAACATATATTTTGTTGAAAGTCTCTGTAATATTACTGGCATCTGTGCTACTGGCATCCATGTGATGATTGCTAAAGGCTACATCTTTATTAGAAATAATTACAAACTGTGAAAGGAATATTGAGAAGTGAGACTCCTCTGCTCTGTAATTTAATTCTTGTGAGTACACGAGGGCATCAAAGACGGGATAGGAAGCTGTAATATGGATTCAGTCTGGCGCCGTGAAGACTACTGCGCACCATCCTGGGATGAAAAAGATCCCAGAAATGACATGACTCCATGTCAGTGGTGACAGCGTAACATGATGATCATAAACTTCAAACATGCTCCACTACATAACTTTAATCACTGATGGCAGCGTGACTGAGGACGTTGCTATGATGTTCGCTGACTACTGCCAAACATAGCAGGATATTTTTGGAATCCACAGAAGTGAAAAAATAGATACACTATATATAGTTTCATCAGGTCCACATACTTACAAAAACAACAAAACAAAAAAACCCTGTAAAACTTTGTGTGACAGGGTAAATGACACAAGCTTGCACAAGTACTTTGTAAAACAAGTAAGATGGAAAAGTGCTAAATACTACATTCAGTTACCATTCCTCCTGTCCTGGTGTGAACCGCTTGAATCGGTTAGTAGTGAGTGACACCTCATTATCCCACCGTAGCCCTGCAGAGACCAACACGCCAATGTATCTGTTTCTTTGTGTTGTTAGTTCTGTTTGCATGGATGCTCTGTGCCCTCAGATTAAGTGTTCATGACACGGGGCAACAAACACATACACACACAGTCACAGAGACACAGGTGCAGCAAAACCACCACAGACACATCACTGGGTTGTAGATGACAGCCTGGAGGATTTGTTTGTTCAAGTGCCACAGCTTGAGTGCATTCATGGCTCACAATGGTAAACCTCCCACCGGGCTGGTGCTGTCTTCCCCTTAAAGACCCACTTCCACGTGAAAGTTTCAACAACATGCATCCAAGGCTACGCTTATTTCAAACATATATCAACGCATTTATTATTAAAATAAAAATCCTTTATAATCATAATTATCAGCTCTGCTTTGACGAGTAGGCTCTGCACACAGAACAGATGATTAACAGGCTATTTTATGCCCATATAAAATTTAATAAACATGAAAAACCTGTCAGTTATTGTAAATTTAAGAAAACAAACAAAAACAAAAGAAAAGAAAGAAAAGCTGCATATTTGCACACCAAATCAAGGAATCGCGTAGACAAACAGGTAGTTCTTTGGGGTTGTATTAGTGTGTAATGCCCAGAATAGCACGCTAACAATGTTTGTTTGTTTTTTTTAAAAAGAAAGAAAAGAAAAGAAACAACTGAGAGGTTTCCTCAATTTTGACCGTTCAACTATTGTAGATGTTTGCAAATAAGTAGAGTCTACACCAAATATTCACAATTTGGTCAGCTAAGTCTAAAAATGGAGGATTAAAAAAAATGCATACCAACCCTGGCACATTGAGCACAGACAGGTAAAATGTGAGGCATGCCGGTTATGAGCCGGCCTTTTCTACCAGAAAGTATTCACTGTTTAATACCAAAGCAATGCATAAATAAAAATTTTATCCTTTTGATGACGATAGATGGAAAATTAGAGGATCACTAAAATCCAAATCATCTGATAGCTTTACAGGTGCTTGACACGATCACACTAGATGAAGGCATGTGTTGACCAAAATTAGTACTTTCTAAAAACCATCAATGTGTTCATTACATTTCAGGTGCAAATTCATCTAGCAAGAAAAATTGTGGAGCAGACAGCCAACAAAATAAAAACATAGGCCATTCCACCAGAACTGTCCAGGACAGGAGTGTTTTATTTGACATTAGGAACACACGTGATGACTTTGCAAAGTATTAGTTTGAATTCACATGTCTGACTTCATATCATGGCAGCCAGTTACCCCCTATTGCAGGACACAATGTTTATATCCCTAAAAATATAGAGTTACAATACAGTTAAAGCAACATTCAGCTCTAGTCAAAGGAGCTTGCAAAGAAAAGCGTCTGGACTTCTTTAAGACTTCTTTAAGTTAAAGAAGTCTTAAAGAAGTCCAGACGCTTTTCTTTGCAAGCTCCTTTGACTACGATGACCTGGATGACTGAGAACCTTCACAGACAACATTCAGCTCTAGTTATTTCCTGTAGTACAGAAGGAAAAATCTCATTATAGTTATGCTACTGTAAAAACAAACCCTGTATGGCAACATTCATTAGACATGCACAGTAAAATAACATGCAACTCGAGAGCGAACTGCTTTCTCTCTTCCAAATACAGATCACTGAGTCCAATCTGCAATGTAATCAGAGTATCATAACCATGTGTCATATGATATATTTACTTGGACACCTCAGCCTCATTTGTAAAGTGGTAACAAATCCCAGTCAAAAGGTCAGTGTAGCAATACCACACTAAAAATACTTAAATAAAAGTCCATTCATTTCAGTTTCCTCGATACAGTTACAGTCAGTGAAGATAAACTTTAGATATTGTTATCATTCTTGTATAGTTCAACCTGTAATAAGTTACTTTCTAAAGCACTTACAACTGTCAGTGAGTTTAATATGTTTAAGAAGAATATTTTCATCTAAACTACACTGGTGAAGTATGAAGCAGGCAAAAACTGGTAGATATAAAAGTACTAGTATCCACAACTTGCTACATTCCTCCATTAAAACTAGATTTGGGTGAAATGTTTTATGTGCTTCAGAGTAACTGGGAAAGAATAAAAAATAATATTATTTCCAGGTTATTTCCATACTTATATTTATGATGATTTTAATTCAACCACAAAGAAACATGTTTCTGCATGGGGTTTGTCAAAAGGCTAAAGTCACTGTTTGTGTGTGTGTGTTTGGGGCGAGGATGTGTGTGTGTGTATGTGTGTGTGTGTGACAGAGCCACAAATATTGAAACTGTAATTTCATTTGCTTTTTCCATTAAAAGAAGGATTGAGTAAGGTTTATGAAAATGTGTTTAAATTTGTGTTTTTCATAGATTTATACTACATGCACATGTGCAGTTGGTTTTAGTGTGATCGTGTATGTGTGTTTACGTGGGCGTGCCCTCCCCAGTGGCAGTTTGTAATCAGCTGTCAAAGTGGGCACTGACCCCATCGCAGCATTTGAAAGCTGCATGCTGGGAAACGAAAAGCTTTCAAGTCCACTCGTGCAGCAGCAGCAGTGAAAGTGAAGGACAGGCAGCACAGACATTTAACCTGCACTTGTTCAGGATATTGATTAGCTGCATTTTGTCAGTTGTAAGAATGGTGGTTTAAGCCTATGCATTTTTTGTGTCTGTTTGGATTGCCATTTTTTAAACTCCAGTGACTTTATCAAGAACAGTAAAGAGCAAAGGTAAGATTTTATTATGGTTAATATGATAATCATGGCTAAAGATGGCAAACCACTGACAAAACAGGTACTAAAAAAATCTGCAATCCCATTTTTTGTTTTCGGCGAAAAATGTAAATGTCATTCAAAAGTTTTACTCATGCATAGCAAGTATAACAATGTGTGTGATTTAAAAAATAAATAAATAACAACCATCTGACTGGATTGGTAGATGTTCTTGATCAAAAAATACCCTAATAGTATGAATGATAGTATAAATTTTATTTGACACTGGAAATTAAAGTTTTTCAGAAACAAAAGAGCCATTTCTTGAAAAAACTGCACTCTTACTTCACCTGAAATCGTAGATTTGGTTTTTCTTGCAGAATATTGTGCTGGCGTCTCAAACCTCAGGTTAAAAATTTCAGCTCTGGCTTTTGATTTAACCATGGATAAAGATTCAGAGTCAAACTTTTGTTTAATATGCTCATTTATGTTCTTAACTTGGGATTTAAATCAGTATTTTTATCTTTTCAAACTTTAACAAAATCTTAACATAGTTAATATTTTTAAAGTATTTAATGGCTGTGCACACACCCTATGTGGCTCTATCACATCAGCTCTGACCAAAATTTCGATGGCATGCAACAAGCTGCTTGCACAAACAAGGGATTGAGTTTTTTTGATTGTTTGTTTTTTCGTGGGAGAGCAATTTTAAATTTGAAAAAGCACTTGCTTTGTTTTTGCTTTATGTTTGGCTAAAGATGATTGAGCTGGGCCTCCCTGATGGCAACCTGATTGATGAGTTGATGGAGCTGACAGCACAGAGCCTCAGTCACCTGGAAATCCAAGAACACTTCAACGTCATCAAAGAGATCGGACGAGGGAAATATGGGAAAGTGCTCCTGGTTACACATCGCTTTAGAGGTATGACTGCACTTATTCTTCTTAAAGAAGAGTATAACCGGTTTCCTTCTATGTGTTATAAAAATCTTTTGTTTCCCAGGAGAAATCAGTTACAGAATTTACCTTCTTTAATGTTAGGAGTTTTAAAATTTCTTAATACATGGCAGAAAATTGTTTTTTATTTGCACTTAGCTGTTGTATTATCACAAAAGGATGCAATATATGATGACATATAATGTTTCTGAAAAGTATATATTCAACAGACTTAAGACCAAAAACACGTAGTCATTTATAGTCTACCAAAAGTCACCAAAGTTGTTCTTTTTGTCATGCCAGACATCTCTGTGGGTTGAAATAAAATAAAAGCTACTGAGAGAGAGAATGCTTTAGTGAAGAAACCTCAGGTTAAAAATTTGGGAAAACTGCTACTTGAAGAAAACATAAGGTGTATGATGTCTTCTGATTCTGTGCAAATCTTGAAACCTGAATGACCCAGTGCAATTGAGTCAAATCAAAGCGGAGCAATAAAGGTGTCAGTGGAGACAAAGTAGACAGCCTGAATGCATAGCATGGGGTTGCAAAGGGTGGGTGGCTTGAGGCCTGGAGGTTCTCAATTTGGAAACAGCTAGCGTGTATGGGGGTGACCCATACACGCTAGCCTACGTTTTGGAAATACTCTGTTGTTGTGTCTTAAATAATTATCATATTCAACTGTCATCAGTTTGATTTATCTGTTTAACAAAGTAACACAAACATGTGTATGAACTGGGATACTAATTACAAAAACATGAATGATCTGCAGGGACTCCCATGGCATTGAAAGTGATGCCCAAAACTTCAACTAAGCTGCAGGGCTTTCTGCGAGAGTACTGCATCTCCTTGCACCTGTCCTGCCACCCCTGCATTGTGGGTCTTTTTGGCATCGCCTTCCAGTCTAATGAGCATTACTGCTTTGCCCAGGAGCTGATCATTGGAAGGGACCTTTTTGCTGTCATTCAACCAAAAGTGAGTCAAACAATTGCAAAATAAGACTACAACTAGAGCCATAATAGTGGGTTTGTAAGATTGTAATGTAATGTAAGCATTTACTTGAATTTACTGTCACATGTGCACCATCTGACTTTAGCGTGTTAAGACGTCAACTGTGAATTGAACTACAGAGTGCAGTTGAATTTGATGGCAATATTATTAGTTTTGCAGGTATTTTGTCGTAAGCCAACATATTGGCTCAGTGGTTAGCAGTGTTGCCTCAGGAGAAAAGGGCCCTGCATTTGACGGGTTTATGTGTGTTTCCTGTGTTTCTGTGTGTTTTCTAAAGATGTTTGAGTCCCTCTGCAGGGACAGAGTTGATACAATAATGTACTTAAGATGTATCTTCTGGCCACCAAAGGAATGTAAAGGAAAATGTATCTCACTGTATCTCAAAAAAAAAAAACCAGTCAATCAAAATGAAAATCAGTAGATTTCTGCTGTTGGCCCTGGAAATCTGGGGACGACCCCTTCAGCGCTGTCCATAAGCCATGGCTGTATTCAAATCTTCCTAAGATAAACTTGGGACATTTTACAACATTAAGAGGCAGACCCATCAAATATACAGAATTAAAAGATTCTAACGGACCGGGTTAATTTGAACTTAGGCTGACTGAATTAAACCTTTCACAACCAATATGAATGGTTTTCCAAATTTCTTGAACTCACGTTCATCAGAAGAAAACATTTAGATGTTTAATGTTTGGTGAAAGAAATGATGAGCACTAGAAATATATTAAAAACGACTGTATCCAGCTTCTATATTAGGGTCACAAGCCCATCTCCAATTTCATTTGTTCTAGGTGGGTATCCCAGAATCCTCAGTAAAACGCTGTGTCCTTCAGATCGCCAGTGCTTTGGAGTTCATCCACACCCATGGCTTGGTCCACCGTGATGTGAAGCCTGAAAATATTCTTCTGCTGGACAATCTCTGCTGCCAGGTGAAGCTGGCGGACTTTGGACTTGCCCAGAAGAGAGGAACCCTGATACGTTTTATCACAGGAATCCTTCCCTATATGGCCCCTGAACTTTGTTCTGTAGCTCTGCCCGAGGGCCAGAAAGAGGTGACTGCTCCACCTCTGAGTGTGGAGCCAAGTCTGGATACCTGGGCATTTGGCGTGGTTATCTTCTGCATCCTCACAGGCTACTTCCCCTGGGAACGCTGTGTGGACTCGGATGACTTCTACGAAGAGTTTGCAGATTGGTGGAGAATGGAAAATCGATCTAACGCTGAGGAGGACATCCCTCCTTTGTGGAAAAGGTTCACTCCAGTAGCCATGGAGATGTTTGGTAAACTCCTGGCTCTGGATGCAGGAAAAAGGTGTTCAGTGGGAGATGTGAGAGCATATGTGGAGAAGGACTGGCTGAAGAAGGTACCGGGTAATGATCAGCAGTAAAAGTCGGGGGAAAAGGGAAAAAAGAAAGCAGCATTTCTCTGGATTTTGTAGCTCCTTATTGCTTAAAAACAATAAAAATATATGATGTAGCTCAAAGCCAGCGTGTGGTTTGCAGTGATCTTTAATATCATTCTGATGCCTTTGTCCTTGTGTAAAAGCATCCTAAGACTAGCAAATGTCTTGTCTTACTGACCATTCAAAATATCCATCTCACATTTGAACTGAAAATCATCAATAAAACTACCAGGAACATCGTTAGACTGTGGAAGGAAACTAAAGAAACCCACCAGATATGGAGGTAAAGGACTCTGTGAATCCAGAACTTTCTTGCTGTGAGGAAGCAGCACCATCTTGCTGCTAGTACGCAAAACAGACAAAAAATAAAACGGGAGTTTTCTGCATGTATTTGTTGCATTTAACTAATAAAAAAATTATATAGTAACAGTAAATTGGTGCGTGGTGATTGGCAGAGGTGCCTCAGGAGAAGATGGCCCTGTGTTTTGAGTTTGCATGTTCTCCCTGTGCTTCTCTGGGCTTTCCTCAAGTCTTTGAGGTTCCTGATTCATGTTGCCTATCTTGGCTCAGGCTACTTTTACTAAAGAAATTTAAGTTAAATAAAAGTTAACAATACAACCTAATTATTTTTAAGGTAATGTATTTTTTGTATATGGGATGATACAGACTGTATGTTAAAATACGTGTACCTTATGGTACATACTAGTGGTGCAACGGATCAAGGTTGATTCGTAATCTGAACTGATCCCACTCCACAGGTCGGCATGCACGTGATCAGAAGATTCGAAAAAGAAGAAAAAAAAGTATGTGTAGGGTGCACGTGGTGGATCTGTCAAGCGATAGTTATGGCCAGCTTAGCGGTCCAAGTGGCGGAGCAGAGGAATTTGCGGTATTTAGGTCCAAGTGGCGGAGCAGAGGAGTTTGCGGTATTTAGGTCCAAGTGGCGGAGCAGAGGAGTTTGCGGTATTTAGGCAGCCCTTTGCTGCCCAATCTGACCAGGCTAAAGCTATTACAAAAGCTATTACAAAAGCTATTGGGGTGTTTAAAGTTATGGCTGAACTGTCCCAGGCATCTTCTGTTGCCTTAACTACTACAAATGGGTGTAGCAATGGAAAGCTACGTGACCGTGACAGCTCATTATATCACAGCAGAGTGCGATAGAATGAGCGGTATGTATTATTGTAGGGTCTAACTTACAATATAAAGCACCTTGAGGCAACTGTTGTTGTGATTTTGTGCTTTATAAATACAATTGAATTGAATTGAATTTAGTGGTAGATACAAAGCCCTGTACTGCCCTATATTGTACCATATTTTTTTAAATAATTGAGTGGAATGAGTGTTGAGTTGAATGTTTTTAACAGACAAAAAATAATTCAATAAGTAAATGTTAAATTTATGTCTTTTTTCTTTTTTTGCTGATCCAAAAATCCGATCCGTGACTTAAAACCGTGCACCACTAGTACATACAGTATATTTGAGGTTTTGAGTAGTATAACACATAGACTGTGCCTGCAGGGACAGAGTTGAATTTTATTTGAATTTACGTCCACCAGAAATACAAATGACCTAATAATTGCTCAACAGCTTCATCTATGAAATTTATGCTTGATTCCTGCAAAAACAGCATAAAATGAGAAAACAGATGCAAAACAATAAAAAAAGGAGGGAACAGAGACGGTTGCAGAGAAACCGAAACAATGAGAAACTGACATACAGAAAACAACTAACGCAGTTGCAGCAGAGTGCTTCTAGTTTTTCATACACTGCTTTTGTATTTTCACTTAGTTTCTGTGAAATAAACAATGACATGGTGTAATAATGATGAAGACCAGATGATTTTTCTTTATGTTCTTATATGTAAAAACTAAACATTTAAAAAAAAGTGTGTGTACCTAGCATGCAAAAATATACAATTCATGATTATATGTTCTGTAGTTATATGGTTATTTCTGTCTTATGTACAAAGAGAAACCCCAAGAAGTTGATTCTGTTTATCTGGACGCAGCGTTTTCAGCGGGAGAAACATTCTTCTTCAGTCTCAGCTGAATGCAGGTTTCCCCAAATTTATACACAGTAAATCTGCATAATGAATGAAACTAGCACCACTGACGATCATTAATATGCAAATTGTCATGACCACTGATCAGTGACGATTGGTCATGAGTACCATTCACAGATAGACATCTTTCACCATCTTACAATGCTGTGATTGCAGGTCACGGCTGAAATACACACAGTTACATAAAACAGATCAAATTCATGACCTCACGAGTTATTTTTTGTACCCCATCTGCCATACTTTATTGACCTTTCTTTAACAAGGTTACATGCATAATCTCATGCAGCTTGTTCTCCACTGATAGATGTCTTGCTGTTGCTGTTCACGTACACGGGACACCAGTGTTGCTTTCTGATTGGAATGTTTCAGGATCTGAGGATGGAAGAACCAGACTGACCAGAGTCTTTAATGTGTTTTTCCAACTCTACTCCAACTTTACTATATTTTTAGGACAGTACACAAACTGGGGTCTTCTTTCAATTCACTCTGGGACCCAAGTGCACTTCCAGGCCTGTCATACAAAAACTAATACAGGCAGTGTATTAGTAGCAAAGCCAGTGGAGGAATTTGGCTCACTGACTGTAGAGTGGTGTGTTTTTGCCCCCTTCCTAATTTCCTATTTTTTCAGATCCACATTTTAAATGAAATGTGTTTATTAGTTAATAATTGGTTGGGCCACCGTTAATAGAAACAACTGCAATCAAGCATTTGCAACAACTAGCAATGAGTCTTTTACAGCGCTGTGAAGGAATTTTGGGCCACTCATCTTTGGAGAATTTTCATAATTCAGCCACAATGACCTCCTGAATGAATTTTAGCTCCACTCTTGAGGTAATTTTGGTCGGCTAGTCACTCCTGGGAAGCTCACCACTGTTCCAGGTTTTCCCTATTTGTGTATAATGACCCTGACCGTGGATCGCTGGAGTCCCAAAGCCTTAGAAATGGCTTGTAACCCTTTCCAGACTAACAGATGTCAGTGATTTTGTTTCTCAGGTGTTATTTTAGATCGTGGCATGATGTGTTGATTTTTGAGGTCTTCTAGCCTGTTTCACTTTGTCAGTCAGGTTCTATTTAACTGATTACTTGATTCACCAATTCTACCAGTAATCAGGCCAGAGTGTCAAACTGAACTGAGCTTTCCAAAAAATGTAGTTATTCACAGTTAATTCATCTGTGAATAACTCTTTAACAAGAGGGGCAATAATTTTTTCACACAGGACCAGGGAGGTTTGGATAACCTTTCTGCATTAATCTATGAAATCGTCATTTAAAAACTGCATTTTATATTTACTTTGGTTATGTTTGTCTAATCTTAAATTTTTTTGCTGATCTGAAACATGTGACTGTGATAAATATTCAAAACTTAAGGTAATATGAAAGGAGGCTTACACTTTTTCACATGTATGTGCTGCTTCTCACATACATGAAAAGAAGATTAAAATAATATTTTCATGTGTGTTCTATGTAACAAGGCATCACACCAAGTTCGTGATTCTGCAGACTTCAGAACTTGCAGTAAACTTTTTATTATGTTTATTGTTCTTTCTACATATTAGATTTTTAGAGTGGAAATTTTATGAGAAGTTACATTTGGTTTATCTATTTTTAAAAACATTGATTCCAATAAGTGTGTGTGTGCATGTGTGTGTGTGTGGACAGCATCTACAATAAGCATGATTTGGAGGTAACAAGTGTGTAAACCAAACAACAATAATAAAAACAAACAAACAAACAGGCTGTGGACAGACATGATTTCTATTGTTAAGAAACATGATTTCTCATTTTATATTTCCAAATAAACAACACTGTGTATATGGCTTCTAAGTCCCAACTGGTTCCTTCTCTGGACATATGACACTTGAGACTCTGTACGGTAATTGTCATCGGGATCACTTGAGGACCACTATGTCTCTGCTGTATCTATTTCAGCTTCAGCTACACAGCAGACTTAATCCTACACCATGATCCCTCAGCAAGGCCTCTAACAGCAATGCTGGCTGTGATGTTTACATATGACATGAGGGTCACTGCTTACAAATTAGTCCCTTTGGGTGTATCGTTGGCTCTCTTCTCAGTGGCCCTTGGCTAACTCCTAACCAAGCATCCGAGGCCTTAGTAGGTCTGTCAGTGCCTCAACGATGGCCTGACTCGGGTTAACATTTGTAGTAAGCACCTGCTCTAATTTTGACCATTGGCATAAATTCTTAAGTCATAATAGAGAACGTTGTTTCAGTTTCAGAACTCCAGTGACTCTCAAAACGTCTTGTTGATGAAACAGCTTATCTCTCAGGCATTAGATGTACACAGAGGAGCAAACCTAAAAATGTCACTCATTTTATGTCAGTGGTATTCATCTATCCAGTTTCCCATGGTAAGAACAAAATGTAATGTCAGCTCAACAGTAATATTGGCTAGTAAGTTTTAGTCAGCAATACACCCATAATTCATCCTGATTTCAAATGGCATGCTAATGCTGACTAGCCTGTTATTCACCAAGTGGCTTTCTGAGCCTGTATTTTTCTGCAATTACAAACTCTGTTTAAACAATCTTGGTATCAAAATAAAGCTAATATTTGTGAGATTTCATCAGAGGTGTAAATATTACAGCAAATGTTACTAGATCAAAGTTACAGAGGCTGGAATAAAGAAAAAGTAAGTATAATTTATTTTTGGATTTTATTGCACATAAACAGTTTGAAAATATGCTTCGGTTCACATTTAACTCCAGAAAAAAGAATCAACATATCGACATTATCTGTGAAGAGATTAACGCTCCTGAAGTGAAACAGTCAAAGACTGCAGCACTTTTAATGAATAGAAAGCCAGGCTTTTTGCAGTTTGCTACATTTTGGCAATATATGTCAGTTGAAATTTATTGAACAGCAGAAATGATTTAACTTTATTTACATGCCTAAAATGTTTTTTTGAACAAACTTTTTTTTTTTTTTTTTTTTTTGGCCTGTCCCGTTTGGCTCTTTTGCCATCAGAATTGTTGTCTAAAGGCAAAGAAAGATGCCCAACGGATTTACTTTACCAAATTGACCATCCCAGCCTTGCCGTAATGGTCCATTTGATTCACCTTTTATTGGTTTATTTTATTTTCACTTACTGAATACGGGACAGACTTGACTGGGGGAAAGAAGGGGAGAAAGAAAGAGGGAAAGAGAAACAGCTGAGAAGAGGGACGGGGGAGAAGGGCAAAAGACAAAAACCAACAGAACGGGCAGAGAAAAAAAAATGCATATATCAATCACCTGGGTCACCTGCTGAGAAAGAAAAAAGAAAACAAGCAGAAGAGAACAAGAGTAATAGAATAAACAACATCACAATGATATATGGGAATATGACAGTAAATACTAAATGTTAAACATTATTGTGCAGCACATAAGATCAACAGAACACAGTGTGCTTT